AAGATTATGGGTGCAGATAAAGGACATCTGAGTCTTTAGGAGAAGAGAGTGGAAAAGTCATGTATCATACGTCCATACGTTTGAGAAGCTTGGGAAGTTGTGTGTGTCGCTTAGATCTATCTTGAAATGGGACTGGAACAGCAACAATAAAAAAAAGAAGGAATCTAATAGAACTTTATCTAAACTATTTTTGAGCTTTCTGTTTTTGCATTTTTTGAAGTGATGAATAATGATTTGCAAAGTTGAGGTATTCCTTCACAAACATGTGTTGTGTTTTCGTACTCTACAAGTTCGCTTAAATATATGAAATACTATTATGAATTACCACTTTTTCATTACTATGTGTCTTTTCTTTGGTTGTTGAGGACTGAATGAAGGAAAAAAAAATACAATATACTTGGATCACACTTCAGCGATATCTCATATCATACAAACATTAGTTCCTTATTAAGATATTTGTTATATTTATTTTTTCATTTATATATTTTACTAGGATAAGACCTGCGCCTTGCGCAGGGTGAATATATGTAATTAAAATATAAAATTTTAATATTTACAAATTTAAAATTTACATATGATTGTTTTTGTAAGTATTTGAAATTTTAGAATTTTGGAATTTTTATATAATTATCTATACGTATGATCAAAAACAATTTTAATTAGAAATGTAAATCAAATCTTAGAATATAATGGATCTGATTTCATATATCTTTTTACATTTCAGTGTTCGAGTGATGGAAAATAAATGGAGTGTCACTGGGCTTGATTGGTAGAGTATAGCAAGTTCCCTAATGTTTTTAAAGAAGCAATTGGTAAAATATTTGCAATTAAAATATATAAAGTTTCTAAATTAATTTAATATAATTTATTTATTTGTCTAATAATATTAGAAAATTATATTTTTAAAAAATTATATTTTCTAAAAAATTATGTTAAATTTAAAATTATTTTTAAAAGCAATATTTTAAGTTTTTCGAATACAAATAAACAATTTAAAATTAATTATTGTCATGATTTAACATAGCCATAATGATTTAAAAAATTAAAAAAATTAAAAGTTAACAAATTAAAAATTAACTCAGTTTTATATCATGATTTAACAATTTAAAAATT